CATCTTTTAACAGATTTTCCAAAATTTTTCCCACAACTGATGCAAGACTAATGGGTCTATAATTACTGAGACAATTTTTATCAACTTCCTTGAAAAGAGGAGTTACATTATTTAACTTCCAATCCTCTGTTACCTGCCCATTCATGGACTGACAAAAAATAGTATCAAGTGGCTCACATATTCAATCTTTAACCTCCTTCAAAACCCTTGAGGAAATATTATCTGGTTCAGAAGCCTTATCATTTTTTAAACTTCCCATTTTTTTCTTAACCAGCTTAGAATTAATGCAGTCATCTTGTTTAATCTCATTTCCATTTATCAACTGATCAAGATGTGAAATACTGCTTAAATCTTAATTAGTAAAAACCAAAGAAAACACCTCACTTAATATAAGTATGTCTATCTTGAAAGTATACATAAACAATTTGTGAAAAAGAAATCCCTCAAATGATTAATAGAATTTGAAAACTAAATGCAACTGTATCATTAATATTTTAAATGTATGAATATGAATAATATTTCTGTTTTTCTCCTAGATATGCCAGTAATTATTGAAGGTATGTAGACTATATGTATACTCCATGTAATGAAAGAGGAAACTAAAAAAATTCCATCAGTACCCATAGTGGCCACCCATACTGACTGATCTGTATCTAACTTTTTATGCCTAGCAATGGAACTCTGAAATCTATACATTTTTAAAAGAAAAATAACTTCTTGACAAATCCCAAATCATTTCTAGTTGATTAGACCATATTTGGCAGGTCCAAATGCAAAAGCCTAGGAGTTAGAGGACAAACAAACACACACTTCTCTCAAATTATAGTAGGATTCCCAATGTAGTATAACAAGACTTGTAAATCTTTCCATTGCACACTTCATCTTATGAAACTGATTTTCAGTGTCATGAAGAATTTTTATAAAATGCAATTTAAAATAAGAACATACACTAGGTTTTCCCCATTGAATGAAAATACTGTCATTATGCTAAAAATATGCAATAAGCAGGGCTGAATGGGGTAACACTTTGTATTTTTCTGAAGAAATCATATTAAGAACAAATAAATTGTTTCATAAGATTAAGTATTCATTTCAAATGCTTTCATAAGTACTGACTTGCATTACTTTAGAAATAAAATTACACAATTTTCCCCACATGAAAAACAAGTTTTGAATGCTTGTTAATAATCTCAAGGCTTCCATGTTTTGGTCTTCACATCAATGTCAACACAGAATCTATATAAATATAAGAGACATTAGGCACAATTTTTAAATTATGGTAGGTTCACAACTATTAGTGGAGTATAACACACTCAAATTAAAGATAAAATATAAAAGTGAATGTCTAATTATTACTGCATTAATACTTAGTTTATATTATCAGTGCTACCAACACTCACCTACCAAATGTGAGAATTATGCAACTGGACATAATCTCATGCTCTCATATATCAGTAAAAAAATCACATGTTTTGGTTCAATTAGCAGCTTTCTAAAATGTATTGTAGTTGGTTGACTAACTGAATCCAGGTTATATTCTGCACCAAAAATGATCCAGGAAAGGTATCAGACTGCATAGTTTTGCTTAACTAAATAAGAAATTTTATAGGGGAGCATGCTCCAAATTCCTAGAACTAGAAGGTGATCTCCCTTTGGCACTTGCAGTACTTTACAGTTTACTAAGTGCTAAAATTTGACATTCTCAGAAGTCCCATTCAAATTTATGAACTTAATAAAAGTCCGCAGCCCTTTATCATGATTATTATAAGCTACATTTTAAAGTGTTCTAGTATAGTACAAATTACAATCAACACTCATGATAATATTATTATGAGTCATAGTACTAGTAGTACTACTACAACTACATTCATAAATAATCAGTTATTTTTTCTATTTCTATTCTATTATTCACGAAATGCAAATCTTATTCTCTAGTTTTTACAGATTAGGCTTAACTGTAAGTTAACATTACTAACTACAATCATGCCTAGACTGTAGACAAAGCATGATATTTCGGAAACACAAGTTCTACTTTGTACGTTACCTAAAACAGGCTAAAGCTAAACTTTAAAAATTACTACTTATTTTACCAATACTTATGAGTTATTAATAAGAACTTATGTGTGAAAATAAGAGATTTATTTAAATCTCAAGATTCAAGACTGACCTCAGTTCCGACTTCTGTGTAACTGTAACTTGTAAGTATAAACTTCAGTTTGAACGTTTCAACACATTGCTACAATACTATTACTTGAAGTACTAGTACTAGTACAAGCACTGCAGCATCAATATCAGCAATTATTATCCGTCTCTAAAATTTACCCCGCGTTTTTGTGTCTATACACTGTACCATAAGTATAACTCATTAATCATTACTTACGTTAATGTTACTGCTAGTTCTGTAACGTTACTACTACAGTATATTACTCATTAGTGTACGTATTACTATTAATCACTATCAGTAACAATAAGTTGAATAATATTAACTTATGATTAAGTGATAATAGCCTAATCTTACACTACACATGTACAGTTCAGACAAATATCCACACTAACCTTTCAACTATTTAAGATTTTCGAAGTAGAGTTTCGCCAGACTTACATAGCAAAACCACAATAGGAGAATTAACACTAAATAACACAATTCCACTAGACG